TTCGACATAATCATTTCTACCAAATTATATTTATCAACATGTTTGATTACACCTTTTCTGAAAAGCAAATTATTTGGAATATACGCCTTTAAATTTTCTTTTTTTAAATCATCATTTGAAACCAATTTATTAGCATCTTTTATACTATTCAGTTACATCCTGATTCTGTTTTTACCTACTCTATCAATTTTTTTAATATTTGGAATATTTAATTTATTATGTAAAATGTGACCTACGGCCATGGGATGCAATTTGTCAATGTTTCGGTCATTGACCTGTTCAATAAATACATACACGAAGTCCGAATAAGTATTGGGTTTTTATAAATTAAAGACCTTACTTTTTTGCTCCACGTTATCAGGTGTATCGGTATCTACATTAGTTTTATTAACAAGGCCTTCGCTCGCTTGTTGAAGATTTTGCGAGGGATTCGTTGAATCAAACGAAGCGTCTGTCCCCCTTCTGTCGGGGGGAAGGTTGGTTTCCATGTTCACCAAATCACTGTAATTCACTTATTTTATCACAATATAAAATATCACTCGAAAACAAAGAGTTTCTGGTTAAATATTTTTTGATACGAGAGGAGACCAAGAAGACTGTATTGCAAAGAAGTTTTTGTAAGGGAAAACTGAAAATTCCTCACTTCCTATATAATTGACGAAGAACTCAATAAAATGTCTTTACCAACAATGAAATATGCTCTTCAAAACGTAACTTGCAATCAAAAATAATGGTAAGACTTTCGGCGCTGCTAACAACTTTCAAAGATTGGTTTTCAATGACCAGTTTGATATTTTTTAAAGCAACTTGCATTGGCAGTTTTTGGATAGAAGAACATTGCAGAGCACTTATTACCATTTAGTTTTAGATTAAAAAATACACACATTTCATAACAATGGCTTTATTTTATTTCTTTACAAAACTTTTACAGACTCAAAATTCTTATATCGTACTCTTGTAAGCCACTGAGCTATTCCGTAAAGCAAAAGTAAAATGGTTGCAAAACCTTCCATAATAATGAAATGGGACAAACTTGTCCCAATGTCCAACCACGATCCTACATTAGTAATTAAATACAAAAATTGCAGAACCATTAAGTCAGAGAATACTAATATAATACAAAAAATATTTAATACATTTTGTTTTCCAATTTCCTGTAGAAGTTTTAATTAAATTAAATACATTCGTACGTTGTAAAGTTGCCCTACTTTTTTTTTAACTGTGGGTTGAAATAATATTTTACTTTCGTTTGATTTGCCATTGTGAAAGGTCAAAATAAAATATAAAATAAAAAAGTACTTACAATTTTAAAACATGTTTTACAAAACACCTGGTTATCACCTTTTACAACAAAATCTGAATAAGATTTTACCCACGACTCAATTAATTTTACCATTTTTCCCACTGGTTAACACAACACAACAATAAAGACTGAAATGAAGTTGAAAGTAAACTGAGTCATTTAGAAATTTAAATACAACTACCTGAAAGGATATTTAGCAAAATTTGTTGGCTTAAGGAGGGTGTTTATAATTTAATCCTCTCAAGTACCTACACCATTAACCGTAATTTATTACAGGGAAAAGTTAATCCTTCAAAATTTTAGGAAATCGACCTGTAAAGGCATTTCAAAAATATTATTTTGGTCCAAAACTCATAATTTTAATATGTCCAGCCAATTAGTACGTCAGATATATGCCAAAAAATTAACAAAATGTCAATATATGCATTCAAAATCAAAAATTGTATATATATACAGGGTGTTATTGAAATACACGTACATATTAAAATGGGGAATAGTATGTAATGACCAAAAACGATTGGCACCAATTTTAACTTCAAATTCTAAAATTTAAATATTGGGGAAGAGTCCCATTTTCCGACCTACTAGTTTCCATATTTAAAGAAGTAAAATAAATCGAAATTGAACTTACCCATAGAAATTGCACTGTTGCCGTAGCAAAACCAATTAATTCAAAATAAAGTTTATTACAGTAATTGTTCAAAATGCCGTCCATTATTATTTACACACACTTGCAATCGTCTTTCCAAAGAACTTTGAACATTATAAATTAGTCTTGGATTTTGTCGTAGTTCCTCGGCTACCGCATTAACTTTATTGGTTAATTGTTCAACACTATTAATAGGTTCATTATAAACCAGTTGTTTCATGTGACCCCACAAAAAGAAATTGCATGGATTTAAGTCCGGAGATCTCGGAGGCCACTTAGTAGGTCCATTTCTGCCTATCCACTTTTGAGGAAATCTAATGTTCAAAAACTGCCGTACGTTTAAATCAAAGTGAGGAGGAGCGCCATCTAGTAGGTACCACATCCGTTGCCTTAATTGTAACAGTATCTCTTCTAGGAGTACTGGCAAAATATCTTCTAAAAAGTGGAGATATCCTGGCCCATTTAATCTGTTCGGGAGAACATAAGGCCCGATTAAATACTGATCTATTATGCCAGCCCAAACATTTATTGAAAATTTTCTTTGATGCCCAGTTTCCCTAATGGCGTGAGGATTTTCATCACTCCAAATATGCGTATTGTGCATATTGAACACGCCATCACGAGTGAATGAAGCCTCGTCAGTATACAATAATATTTTTAGAAAATCAGGAATATCAACACATTTTTGAATCATCCATTCACAAAACTCCCCTCTCTTTTCTTCATCACCTGGATATAAAGCCTGGACTTTTTGGATGTGATAAGGATGTAAACCTTATTCTTTAAGTGTCCGCCACACAACAAATGAGGACACTGCAATTTCAAGACCTAGTCTTCTACAACTTAATTGAGGCCGGTTTTCAACAGCTTCCAATATTTCTTCTTCGGCCGCCAATGTTCTTTGTGTTCTTGTTCTCCCTCGATCTGCATTGACACTCTCAAATTTTCCATGGTCTCTTAGATGCTGAACAGTTGAAATAAACGTACGACAGTCCGGAATTCTCCGATTTGGAAACCGTTCGCGATACAGGATTTGTGCTTGCCGAGAATTTTCTCCAGCTGCCCCATAAACCAGCACTATATCCGTTAGTTCAATATTCCTAAATAGTGGCATCGTAAAAAAATATTTAAAAGTAATCGTAACAACACTTTTTACAAACTTGGAAATGACGCGCTCGTGTTAGCCAGATTCGTAAATCAACTAAAATTTTAATAATCTATAGTTTCAAAAATGTATAGTTTAAAAACAATCATTTATCAAATATTCTAGTTTTTTGATAACGAGGGTAGTAAAAACCAGTCTTCGGAAATAGAAATTAATTCGAAAATCTTGGCAACATGCTTATTTCTTACAAGACTAGTTTTCTTATCATCTGACAAAAACTTGCATATTAATTACTGTTGATGTTTAAAATAGGTAAATAAACCTAATTTATATAGGTCATCCTCAACATATCAGTGAAGTACGTTTGTTTTAGAATTAATTTTCAAAAATTAATAACTCCCTTAATAAGGGGTATTTTTAAAAAATAATATTTTTCTACATTCAGTGGGGATCTGCGCAATACCCAGTTTTAATATGTACGTGTATTTCAATAATACCCTGTATATGCAACATATGCAAAATATGGCGTTTTGCATATATTCCTAGCTCTAGTGATGATGATGACGATTATGATATTTTGGATGATAACGACTGATTTTCATTTTTGTTGGCAAGTTCAATTTTTCTATTTTTCATTTGAAATACTCTACATGGAACAAATTTTTATGTTAGAAAATATTTTATTTGAGCTAAATAACCCTCTTATTATACATAGACCATATTTTCTGTGTAAAGTGTAATATAAAATTATTATTAGGTTTATAATAGCCACATTAGACTCCATTAATGAAGAAGTTTAATTCTGCTCCCAATTATACAAAATATTTTCCATTATTATTTAATTAAAAACTTGTACATTATTTTTCATTTCATTTAACCAGTTATATTTCCCTAAAGAACAGGTCAAACTTTCGGGTACTTACCTGGAAATACTCATAAAATTTTTAATCCGAAACCCCGGTTAGTATAGCGAACAGACTGTATTTCATTTCGGGTACAATTACAGACTGTACATGTGCTTTTATATACATCTTATTTCTTGTATTACTTTAGTAATTTAATTTTAATAAACATAATTACATACTATACAGGGTGAGTCGGGAGGAGCGCACCAAACTCTAGGAGTATATTATACACGTGAAAATAATGTAAAAAACTCAAATGTTCTTATCCGATTTCCATTTACACATAAAAATTCTCTTATTCTAAATTTGAATAAGTATCTGGCATTTTGCAACACTAACAATCACATAAATTCGAAATTAAACGTTCACTGTACACTGACAGTTCATCAAAACGTCAGTAATATCAAATGCCTTTGAGCCTTGAACATATGCCATACTTTGATAATGTTAAAATTCAGAAGTGGAAAGCTAGATGAACATTGTTAATTACGCCATAACTTGAAAACAAATGAAAATCGGATAAGAATATATGAGTTTTTTTACATTATTTTCACGTGTATAGTATACTTCTAGAGTTTGGTGCGCTCCTCCCGACTCACCCTGTATAAGTATTTAATAATTAAAATATATTCACCCTCTACACACCAGAGGACTACGCTTATTTAACTCAACTACCTGATGCGAAATTATCCTGTAGGCTGGCTCAGTCGATAAAACTAAACTCTCACAAAGAAGTTTTCCTAAAGGAAAATTGAAAATTCCTCACTTCCTATATAATTGACGAAGAACTCAATAAAATGTCTTTACCAACAATGAAATATGCTCTTCAAAACGTAACTTGCAATCAAAAATAATGCTAAGACTTTCGGCGCTGCTAACAACTTTCAAAGATTGGTTTTCAATGACCAGTTTGATATTTTTTAAAGCAACTTGCATTGGCAGTTTTTGGATAGAAGAACATTGCAGAGAACTTATTATCATTTAGTTTTAGATTAAAAAATACACACATTTCATAACAATGGCTTTATTTATCTTTCTTTACAAAACTTTTACAGACTCAAAACTCTTATATCGTACTCTTGTAAGCCACTGAGCTATTCCGTAAAGTAGAAGTAAAATGGTTGCAAAACCTTCCATAATAATGAAATGAGACAAACTTGTCCCAATGTCCAACCACGATCCTACATTAGTAATTAAATACAAAAATTGCAGAACCATTAAGTCAGAGAATACTAATATAATACAAAAAATATTTAATACATTTTGTTTTCCAATTTCATTAATGGCTCTAAAAATACTACACGTAAAAATAAATGGAACGATGAATTTTAAAAGAATTAATCCCATCATTTTAAACGGACTAAAAACAGTTAGAAACGCTCTGGTCCACATAGGATCAAAAGAATTCAAACTTGCCATAGTCCCTGTACCAAAAAATCCAACAAAAATGAAGATCATGAATAAGAAAGCTCTTCTAAACGCATCCTCGTTTATTCCTTTTTTGTTTGTAGACTCTTCAAATTTTAAATAATAAATAATTTTGTGCGAAGTCTCAGTTTGGAATGTCTTAGATTCTATAATTAACCACGTATATAGGAAGAACACGTAAATGGCGGAAAACAGCAGTTCGAAATTTGATGACACCAAAGTATAAAACGGCGCAAACCCGAAAACGGTAGACGTAAGTCTGAGAGCAATAAAATTATCGGTCAATGGAATAAGTAAAACTGGAACAACAAAGATTACCCAAGAGATGTATTTATAATTAGAATCTGGTGATATATATTCGAATTCGATGAGTAATATTACGTAAACTGCTGCTAATTGCAAAAATATAAACTGTACAATAAGTATGGAATATTGAAAATTAACATTATTCAATCGATGATAGTATTTCAAATCGTAAAAATACAATTTTCCAAAGATTATTATATAACCAACATACCCTACAAAATACGTATATAAATTAAAAGAGGTTTTCATCACAGGAAGACATGGAAAAATCGATAATATCAAACAGCATAACACCCAAATTATTTTTTCAGAATTATTAGAACCTTTTTTAAGCGATTCAGAAAGAGTTACCCATGCAGCTACTAGAATCATAATAATAGTATAGGAAGATCTATTGAAGAATCCGTAAACGAGCAGTTCGATTCCTACTACATAAAAAATAATTTGCCAAATCATTTTTGAACATTTTGGAATCATACCGATAATGTTATAACCTTTAATTAAATAGTAATACGATATTACTGGGAAATTAAAATATAAATAATAAGAAATAGGAAAATTACTAATTTTACACAAAATACTGATTACAATAATAATAATTGTACTACGAATTGTATACGATTTTGATTTGATTTTCTGCAAATCAAAAACTGATACACATAAAAATAATATCCATATTATAAATCCTAAACTTATACTCAAAAGAATAGGATACTGATAATAATTATGATAATAATTAACTCCTTCTATTAACATTTTCATAAAATCTTCGCACAGCAAACTAAAATCATCGATAGATAACTTCAAACCCAGCTCGCTCAACTTTTCTACTTTTTCGTTTAAAACATTTTTAGTCACATTGCTGAACGGGAAATAAATCAACGCACTCTCCTCCGTCCGTAGCATCTTTTGTTTAAAAATCTCCACTAATTCTTTTATATTCGACATAATCATTTCTACCAAATTATATTTATCGACGTTAAGATAACCAACTGGTAAAATTCCTAATGAATTTATAGGAATATTGATTCCGATAAGAGATGCAAGTAGCGGCGCTAGATCAATTTGCTTAATATCTTGCTGCTGATCGTTTTTTCTGATACCAGCTCCCCAAGCAATAACCGGAGTTTGCGTTTCGTGATCCAAACCCGTCCCGTGAGATCCCCAATCTGTCATACCATGATCGGAAGTGAATACAAATACGTTAGAATTATCTTTGTAAACTGAGTTGAATAGTTTTGTTATTTCTTTAATATTTTCATCGACCAAAATGATGTTGTTAATATATTCTTTTGAATGTGGCTTATAACCGTGTCCAGCGGTGTCGATTCCAAGTAAATGAAGGAAAAAAACGTTTCCTTGTTCGAAATAATGATTACAGTTTGTTTTACAATTAGATACTTCGTTTTTTAAAAAAATATTCACTCTGTCGAATACCCAAGTATCTAAAACTCCTGTATCCTCTTTACCAAAATCTTCTATTCGCGCATCATAAGAATGTATATGGTTTTTTGGTAAATTATCTCTATTGAAGATTTTGACTATATCGGGGCTACCCCATGCCCACGCATTAATGCTTTGGTTGATTACGGAGTCGAAATTTACCGGATTTGACTTCCAACCTTTTAAAATAGCGCTTGGATCTTCATATATCCCCGCTAACATAGCAACATGACCAGGTCTTGATTCCGTAGGTACTCTAGTGTGTGCGATACCCCAACTACCTTCGTTATATTTAATATTCGTTAAAAACGGTGTTCTTGTTTCGTGTTCTTTTCCGAAAATCGCTTGCGCCCTCAATCCATCGGCAACGAATAGAATTAACCGTTTGGCTGGTGGATTATTTGTACTCTTGATTGGAGACATTCCATGTTCTAAAGGACTAGCGAAGTACACATCGAAAACGGCTAATAGAAGTAAAAAATGAATCAGGAGGCCTAATAGCACGATTTTGTGCTTCTTGGCTACATTTTCTTCCGAATCATCGCCTTCTTCCACCATATCGAAGCTATCATCTAAAAAATTAAATTATTTCAATATTATTAATAGTTTGTTATAACTAGCTAACTGGAATGCATTAGTGATGACGTAAAAATGAGCCAAACAAGGTGCGGTTTTATTTATAAACTAAATATCTAGTTTCTTAAAGTTCATTATTTAATTAAAATTATTTTAGATATTAAATTATGCTTCACATTCTTGTTAGTGGAAATAAAGATAACCATGTAGTATACCTATGTTACGCCGCTGACCCACATGTTCAGATTTAAAATTTTATTTTCTATTGCCAATTTTTGTGTCGCGTGATTCACATCGTTCAGACCGACTATATTTCCAGCCATTATAAAAACATGGGTAAAAACTATCGAAAATGCAAATCGTCTCAGAAATATAATAAATTAAAAACGAAATGAAGAAATTCAGAACACAAGTAGGAAAATAATATTTTTCTTTTTATTTAACTGATTTTTAACTTGCAGAAGATACCACTTTAGGGTGTAAATTTCTGCATTTAGACGACAAATAAATATACAGGGGATACTATTTTATGTGTTAACGGTGAAGTCATTCATAAAATCCATCTGCGAAACGAAAAAAGCTACTTAATGTGCAAATTTCGCAAAACCTTGATGAGGACAGATACTACTTTAAGTGTAAATTCTGCATTACAGACAAAGACATGTACAGAGGAGGCTACTTTATGTGTTAACTCTAATCTTATACTATAGTCTATTTTTATGTATGAGAGAGTAATAAAACAGCATTTCTAATGCGAAACTTAGTACGGTCATTTTAAATATTTTTACAGAATAATCTAAATATTTCCTAAAATTCTAATAAATGTACCTGAGCTATTACAAGTTTTGGGTCTTTTATTTGTCCTTTATAAACATAAGCTGTACAGAACAATAGAAAAAGGTTTAAACAGGCCAAAAGCCCTGTGTATTAAATATTACATAGCCGTATCTTAAGATTATTTTCAATAAGTACCTATTTGCCAATTTTGTTTTATTTTAATTCCAAGAATTTCTTACAGTAATCGAATTATAAGTAGATAAATAAATACCTTCCCAACAAATTTCACCGAAAATGCGATTATAGGTTTTCCATTTAGTAAGGAGGTCCAAGTTGTGTATTCTTGACAGTTTACTAAATGTCGTTTAGTTGCAACTTGCAAGGTGCAGTAAGAAGTCTAGTGTGATCATGGAAAATTTGGAAGGGCCGCGTAAACGACAAAAAATCGGTCCTTTAACAGTTAATGAAAAAACATTAATATTTAATTGTTTTAAATCATTTACAGACAAACATTTATGTAAAAGTGTTGATGACAATGGAATTAGTTAGTAGTACGCTTGGTGTTGAGAAATCTACGATTTACAGAGTTGTTAAAGAAAAGAAATGTGGCGAGTTTCAAACAGCACGTAAAGCTCCAGGAAAACCAAAATTTCAATTAGAAAATCTTTTGAAAAGAATACTTCGAAGAAAAGTGCATGCGTTCTTCTTTAGAAAAGAATTTCCGACAGTAGATAAAGTTCTTGCCACGGTTCGAGATGATAAGGATTGCCCTGAAATGAGTCGAAGCACACTATGGAAACTTTTAAAAGAAATAGGTTTTCTATGGAAAAAGCATTCCAGAAAGTCTATTTTAATAGAAAGAAGATTGGACAAATTGACAGTTGACAATTCAGCGACCTCAAAAACTCAAACTCTCAATGTGAAAAGAGGATATTTACTTTTATTTTCCTCGTTGATAGTGAATTGACAGCTGTCAACGGTCAATTTGTCCAATCTGACCTCAAAACATTACCCTATACATTAGAATAATTAAAATATGCTTTTGACATCTGTAAATAGTATTTAAAATGAATAGTTTTGCAACGGGTCAGGGGAGCTTTGGCAGCTCCGTAGTTGCCAAAATATTCATTTTGGCACTTTGTGCCCATGGAGACTTTTGTTCAGTATGATAAAATCTACAACATATCAAAAATTCAGACAATTTGACAGAAACCCAATTTCCATAAGATTATTGCGAGGTCCTTTACATTGTATTTATGTTATTTTCAAGATTGTATTCATTTAAAAACATATTACTATAATAATTAAAATTAAAATAATTAAGTTACATACCTTTAACTATATTTATGACTTTTAACCAATATAAAGGGCGTTGCGATATTTGACTATAGCCGAGACCTCTCATTAATTGATAAAATTTGAAATTGAAACATGAACCCTTTGTATATTATTTGTGTAATATTTGTGCACTACTTGTTTACTATTTGTGTACTATTTATGTAATATTTGTGTACTATTTGTGTATTATTTGTGTACTATTTGTGTACTATTTGTGTAATATTTGGGTACTATTTGGGTACTATTTGTGTACTATTTGTTTACTATTTGTGTACTATTTGTGTAATATTTGTGTACTATTTGTGTTCTATTTGTGTACTATTTGTGTACTATTTGTGTACTATTTGTGTACTATTTGTGTACTATTTGTGTACTATTTGTGTACTATTTGTGTACTATTTGTGTACTATTTGTGTACTATTTGTGTACTATTTGTGTACTATTTGTGTACTATTTGTGTACTATTTGTGTACTATTTGTGTACTATTTGTGTACTATTTGTGTACTATTTGTGTACTATTTGTGTACTATTTGTGTACTATTTGTGTACTATTTGTGTACTATTTGTGTACTATTTGTGTACTATTTGTGTACTATTTGGGTACTATTTGTGTACTATTTGTGTACTATTTGTGTACTATTTGTGTACTATTTGAGTACTATTTGTGTACTATTTGTGTACTATTTGTGTACTATTTGTGTACTATTTGTGTACTATTTGTGTACTATTTGTGTACTATTTGTGTACTATTTGTGTACTATTTGTGTACTATTTGTGCTCTATTTGTGCACTATTTGGGTACTATTTGGGTACTATTTGTGTACTATTTATGTACTATTTGTGTACTATTTGTGTACTATTTGTGTACTATTTGTGTACTATTTGTGTACTATTTGTGTACTATTTGTGTACTATTTGTATACTATTTGTGTACTATTTGTGCCCTATGAGTGTAATATTTGTGTACTATTTTTGTACTATTTTTGTACTATTTTTGTACTATTTTTGTACTATTTTTGTACTATTTGTGTACTATTTGTGCCCTATAAGTGTACTATTTGTGTACTATTTGTGTACTATTTGTGTACTATTTGTGTACTATTTGTGTACTATTTGTGTACTATTTGTGTACTATTTGTGTACTATTCGTGTACTATTCGTGTACTATTTGTGTACTATTTGTGTACTATTTGTGTACTATTTGTGTACTATTTGTGTACTATTTGTGTACTATTTGTGTACTATTTGTGTACTATTTGTGTACTATTTGTATACTATTTGTGTACTATTTGTGCCCTATGAGTGTAATATTTGTGTACTATTTTTGTACTATTTTTGTACTATTTGTGTACTATTTGTGCCCTATAAGTGTACTATTTGTGTACTATTTGTGTACTATTTGTGTACTATTTGTGTACTATTTGTGTACTATTTGTGTACTATTTGTGTACTATTCGTGTACTATTTGTGTACTATTTGTGTACTATTTGTGTACTATTTGTGTACTATTTGTGTACTATTTGTGTACTACTTGTTTACTATTTGTGTACTATTTATGTAATATTTGTGTACTATTTGTGTATTATTTGTGTATTATTTGTGTATTATTTGTGTACTATTTGTGTACTATTTGTGTACTATTTGTGTACTATTTGTGTACTATTTGTGTACTATTTGTGTACTATTTGTGTACTATTTGTGTACTATTTGTGTACTATTCGTGTACTATTTGTGTACTATTTGTGTACTATTTGTGTACTATTTGTGTACTATTTGTGTACTATTTGTGTACTACTTGTTTACTATTTGTGTACTATTTATGTAATATTTGTGTACTATTTGTGTATTATTTGTGTATTATTTGTGTACTATTTGTGTACTATTTGTGTACTATTTGTGTACTATTTGTGTACTATTTGTGTAATATTTGTGTAATATTTGGGTACTATTTGGGTACTATTTGTGTACTATTTGTTTACTATTTGTGTACTATTTGTGTACTATTTGTGTACTATTTGTGTAATATCTGTGTACTATTTGTGTACTATTTGTGTACTATTTGTGTACTATTTGTATACTATTTGTGCAATATTTGTGTGTTAATTGTGTACTATTTGTATACTATTTGTGTACTATTTGTGTAATATTTGTGTACTATTTGTGTACTATTTATGTACTATTTATGTACTATTTATGTACTATTTGTGTACTATTTGTGTACTATTTGTGTACTATTTGTGTACTATTTGTGTACTATATTTGTGTACTATTTGTGTACTATTTGTGTACTATTTGTGTACTATTTGTGTACTATTTGTGTACTATTTGTGTACTATTTGTGTACTATTTGTGTACTATTTGTGTACTATTTGTGTACTATTTGTGTACTATTTGTGTACTATTTGTGTACTCTTTGTGTACTATTTGTGTACTATTTGTGTACTATTTGTGTACTATTTGTGTACTATTGTGATACTTATGTGTACTATTTGTGTACTATTTGTGTACTATTTTGTGTACTATTTGTGTACTATTTGTGTACTATTTGTATACTATTTGTGTACTATTTGTGCCCTATGAGTGTAATATTTGTGTACTATTTTTGTACTATTTTTGTACTATTTGTGTACTATTTGTGCCCTATAAGTGTACTATTTGTGTACTATTTGTGTACTATTTGTGTACTATTTGTGTACTATTTGTGTACTATTTGTGTACTATTCGTGTACTATTTGTGTACTATTTGTGTACTATTTGTGTACTACTTGTTTACTATTTGTGTACTATTTATGTAATATTTGTGTACTATTTGTGTATTATTTGTGTATTATTTGTGTACTTACTATTTGTGTACTATTTGTGTACTATTTGTGTACTATT